TACATATATATATATATATATCTATGTATGTATGTATGTATGTATATATATATGTATGTATGTATGTATATACCCAATTTGTGAATAATAAAGGGAGCAAGTTTTCTCCCCAAGTAAATTCAGCAGATAATTTCATGTTTATTTGGCTAGAAGCTTCTCTTTGTTGATATTGGATGTCCAATGGGTTAGCAAAAATTTTTCTTGACCTAATTAATTTATACTCTTAAGTGAAATTTTGATAATAAATTGATCCCCATTTCTCTTGAGCAAAATTATGTAACACCTGACATCTTTTACAGCTTGATCACCCTTTACTGTTTGTGTGCATTCATATCATTACAGGTTGATACTTCAACATGAAATAACAGGAACTAGATGTAATCAGTGAACTCTAGAGTTATTTATATTAAGTTTTTTCCTATTAATGAGTTATGTCTAACCAATGAACGATGTGCTAGGGCCTAGATTTCGTAAAAAAAGGTAGTGCTCAAAAAGGTTTTTGGACATAATATAGCTAGAAGAGAATTATGGTGGGCTAGGATAATGAATGATGTTGAGCATGCACCAGACTTTAAAAGAATCTTGCGACTTTAAGTACTCCAAATAAACTAAGATTCAACATAGCTACAGAAGCTAAAATTTAAGTACGCAGATCTGCTTTTAATTATCATACTTTTAATTCATCTTGAAGGCTGAATGAGTCAATAAATCAATGTGCTCAAAGGTACAGTTTTTTGTGGACATTCTTCAACTTCAATTGTGTTTGAGCATCATGCCTTCCAAAAGAGAAAAAAGATTAGCTTTATAGCCGAAAAGACTTCCACAACATAGGAGAACACACGTTCATGAAAGATCTACTAAAGTTGATCAGAAGGATTAATTTTTTGTTTTAGCAAGATTAAAAGGTTGAATAAACATGATTACCTGATTTTACAAAAAGCTTAAACAAGGAAGATATATTGTTTTAGCAAATATTGATGGGTACAAGCACGAACTCAATGTAATGAAGATTCACTCCCAAGTCATTTAGACGTGATTAAAGTAATAGTAAGAATTTTAAACTCCAAAGACTGATTTTAAACAACCAGCAAAACGTATTCATAAAAATAAACTGGTAAGAAATTAAAATCATATATTAAATATATTTACATTCACTGACTTAGGTAGATTTAAGAAAAAAGAGGTAATCCATCTATTTTACAGTACGCAATGATTTTTCAGATTCTTATAACAGTAGCCGTAACCATTTGTCTCTTTGTTTTTTTTTTTAATTTATTATTATGAAAATAACTATTTCTCTTTGGTTATACTATTTTGGAATATTTCGAATAGGGTGCTAAATTCATAGTTCCATCTCATAAATATATAATTGAATAAAATAAGGAAGCTTTACATACATATACCACTTAATTCCTATGTATTTACATATCAAACACCTAAAATTCAATATTTAAATGTCACTTTACCTAGGCATGAGTTGTATTTCACTTTTTAAAAGTTAAAGTAGAGGTGTTGTTAATGCGATACCAATAATCTGAGAGATATAAATGTAAAAAAATAAAGTATAGGTGCATATCATGTAAATACATAGGAATTGGGCGGTATGCTGATCATGCATATCTTCAATTTTAAAAATTAATGATTTAACCAATATGTGAACGTTACACTGACCTGGAGAATCAGAGCAAGCTCCACTTCCTGAGAAAACACCAAAGCTCCATCATTTGAATGAATATACTTCACAAGATAATTCTAGATACCTTCCAGATATAACCAACAATTGTAGCGCTGATAATATTCAAAACAGACACCCATGAACAGCATTTATATGATTTTGGAATGGGCTACACATCCAGAATCATTATCCTAGTTGTAACAAAAAAGGCTGAAAAGGTTGTACAGATTGGCACTACAAATGTTGATAAAAGCTCAATAACTGCCGATAGGTCAAAAATGGACCAACGCATCCCAGGGTCAGGTAACTGGCTGTTGATCAGCATCATCCATCAGCTCCCCACTGTTGTATTTGCGAGGACCTGGAGAAGTTCCAAAGGAGTTGCTGCTGGGTCAAGCTCAAGGCAATCCTTTGGAGCATTATGATCTTCTTCACCCGTGAGCAAATAAAACGGTACCTGATGTGAAAATCGGAACATTTCTTCTTTTGGGATCTTCAAATTTTCTTTAGGGTCCATATGCCGAAAGAAAAGTGTTCTAAATCCAGTAACCTTCGCTAAAGGAACAACCAAGATCCCTTGATCTTCACAATAGTCCTCTAGTACCTCCACCATTTCATACTTGTGAATTACATCATCAGGTGTACGCTCATTCCAGTCAGGACACCAATTTCTGTATAATGCCCAAATATCACCTTTTCTAGGAAGAACTTTGAATACTCCCCGAAAGCCTTTCTCCCATTTAATCTTATGAGAGAAAATATTAATTGTATTGATGACTGAATATCTGCCTACTCTAAAATCTCCACATGTTTTACAAAAACCACTGCTAACCCACTTTAATGAGCCAAATTCAACATTGGACTTTGATGTGAGAAAACTCATGCGGACCTTGAAAGGTTTTGCAGATATAACTTTCTGAATATAGGCATAATACCGAGGCATACCATCATCGTCATCATAAGTAGCCCACACCTGATCATCTCCAAAAGTTTTTTCAGTGCGATCTTTATCAAAATCATAAAAATCAGAATCTGGAACATCAATGGACAGAGACTGATTGACTACCTCATTAGGATCACTACTATCCTCTTTTTGGAGGACCTCCTTGTCACTAAATTCCTCATTTTTACTCCTAGGGCCATCAAGTACTTTTACATCAGATCGGTGAACTGTGTACTTCGCATTTACTTTATCAACTACTCTTGCTTCATTAACATCTTTGGTTTTTTGCTTCTTCGCCGCCATATCAGCAATAGCTAAATTAAATTCTTCTAGTTTCTCAAGTATTGCAACCTTAGCCTTTTCCATTAGTATAGCCTTGGCATTTATTTGTGCGATTTCTCTGTTAAAGATGGTGGGACTTGAGCTCAATCTAGACTTCAAAAAATTAACATAATGCCAAGTGCCCATTACTGCTCCAGGAACAATATTTCCGCCATGCCTGCTATTTGAGTCCATCTGCTCTCCACTATCATTTTTTCCTAACTCAGCTCCATTGCCTGATCTAGTCAAAGAAATATCAGCACCAAATCCAGCATAAAGAGTTTCAGAACCACCATGATTCCTTGTTGACAACCTTCTACGGAGAAACTTCTCCCTTCTAGCGGCTGCCCGTTCTTCTGCTTGATACCTTTTAGCATTCTCATGTGATTGGCGACCCGCAGTAGCAGCCTGTTGGACACAAGCAGAAGAGCCATTTGCATTGTGAGTAGCAGCAGCTCCAGAAAATGGGGGGTTTTGGAAGCTTGTATTGTTGGATGAGTCCCTGCTTAGTCCATGTTGGAATCCAGATGCACCCATTCCTGGATGAGCAGAAAATTTTTCGTAGGCTTTCTTATGGTGCTGCTGTTTTGAGTACCATGGAGGATGATTGTGTCCGCTGGGAGGAAGAGGCAATTCTTTAGCTAGAAATGGCTTTTTACATTTGGGACATAGGAGGCTTTTGTTTAGATACATCCTATGGTATTCATACTGCATGCAACAGCCAGTGCAGGAGGTCCAGAATGTCTGAAATGGTGGTTGAGATGGAGATGGAGGGACAGAGGGAGGCCTGCAAGAGTTATTCTGCTGAGTTCTTGACTTCACTGTGGTCATGTTGGTGTTCTGGTTAAAACCATTGCTTTTAGTGCTGGGAGTTGAAGTATTATTATCATTATTGCTGGTTTGAAAAGTCTTTTGATGAGAAATTTTTACAAATATTTTCTGGTCGTACACCATTTTCTTACTTTTATTTGATAGCACGTTCCAAGCTTCGGAAACAAACTGGAAAGCACCCTCAGCACCTGCAGATTTGTTCTTATCTGGATGTAGGAGAAGAACTAACTTTCTGTACTGCTTCTTCACAGTTTCTTCATCCGCTGAAGTATTGATATGGAGGACTCCATACCAATCTCTCTCCCCATTAATTTTTGCTTCGGATGCAATATAAATATCAAAGACAGTTAACATTTGGCTGATTCCGTCCAGGGTTGGAGAGAGATTCTGGGCCTTCAGCGCCAATTTCTTCGCACCCACATAGTCCTTTTCAGTAAACTTCCTTTCAGCATGCTCTTTCGCCCTCAGAGCCTCATCCCTATTGCATTCCATTGCGCAACAGACAACCAACAGAAGCTGAACTCAAACCTCTAAGCTCCGCAAACTAATTCATTCATATCGTAAAACAGAAATCGAAAAAAACTTTAGTAACAGTACCAGGAATCCTTAACTCTCATGGAGAATAAACAATGAAAGGTAGAACAAACTATAATCAAGTTAAAAATGGCGCCAAAATGCTAAAAACTAGCTTCAAAAACTTTGGAGCGTGAAAACAACAAAATCTGTGCTCGATCTCCGAAGTCCGGTCATGGCTAACGGTGAAACGAAATTCGGAGAAAAGCTCAACGAAAACGGAAGACACGGACAAATTACCCATCTGCAGAGAATCCACGCGGGCTTATCGATTTGGGTCGCGAGCCGCCATCAGCAGTTCTCCCATCTCCAAAACAGTTTGCCACCAAATCTGGGAAAATTTTGATATATTAAAGGGAAAATCACTCAATAGACCTTGTGCCTAAAAAGTGCCATTACCAAAATACCTTTGAAGACAGTTGAAAATGCATCTTCCCCCGGCCTTATTTCAAGCCCTAACATGGCTTCAGCTACATATAAATATGTATTTACATATCTACCGCTAAACTTTACTAAAGTAATATTAATATGCTAAACCTCTTTAAATAAAAGAAGAAAGGGGGCATTTACATACATTGCACCCAATTCATATGTATTTACATATCCACCCCTAAGTTTTATTTTTTTTTCATTCATGTCACTCCAGCCTTTCATATCATAAGAAGATATTATCATTTGAACTTTTAATGTTGAATCAAGATATAACTATGAATCACACCCTACGTAAATAGTGTAGGATGGAAAAGAGAACCAAAGAGAGTGAGAACCAAAGAGAGTGTGATTGAGAGAGAGTGTGTTTGTGTGTGTGTGCGCACAGTAACAAGAGTTATGATATAGAAAATTCAGCTAGCCTCCTCTCTTTTAAATAGAGGGGTGAAGCTTGAGGAAGACGGCTGAAGAGCTTTCTATGTCAATGTTCACTCTGCCTTTAGCATTAAATCCAATAATGTTGGGAGTCTATTCCTCCTTTTTGTGGCGCTCCCTCGAAGTCCCTCATTTCATTAATGTCAGCTTTTGTTTGAAGGGGATTAATTCCCTGTTGATAATATTTGAATAACTATTATTGTTTCAAAAATAGAGTGAATCAATTCTGAACACGGGTCAGTCTCGACCGCCTTGTCGTCCTCTTCCTCGACCTCTTCCCCTACTGGTTTTGGAAGAGACACCCTTCCTTCTCCTCAGATCTTTCTGTGAAATCTGATAAATTTTTAAGGTCTGCCTCTTCTCCTATGTCTCATCTAAGACAGCCCAAAACATAGAAATCATGACACTGATTTGTGTAATGTTCAACACCCAATTCACTATCATAGGGTCAATATGTTGAATAATTGATAGGTGTTTGCCTACGATAGTCGACGCATGTTTTAAGACCCATAGCAAGAATCCCTTCTTCATTTTGTACGACTCTCCAATTAGTCGTGTAGCGATCTCCTATACTTCAGAGATGTCGTGGAGGAAAAGAAACTTGCAATCCTTAATTTTTCTCTCTAGATTGACAAGGTAGTAGTTCTGAGTTGATTCAAAAATAACGTAACCATCGGGCTCCACCCTGAAAGACAACATGTATGAAAATAGCTCCTCCATCCACCGCAATTAGATCACGAAGGTCATCACGACCACAATTGAATTTGGCTTTATTGGTTTGGGGAAGACTCTATAGTGATTGAGGATGGACTGAATCTTGTAACAAATGGGCAGTTGAAGCCCTCACTGAAATTGATCCCAGTAGAAGATCAGATCTTTGGCAATGCCATTTGTCGCTCATGCCTTCAACTCGATTGCCTTGAGTGTATCCTTGTATTTTATAGAAAATTGTATTCATGTAGCTATGCATCAAACGACTTATGCGAAGACCTCTCACTTGCTAGCACTAAACTAAAGAGTTACGGAGAATATCTAGAAATCATGTGAATCACTAAAGATAAACTAACCCAAATGAGAGACAGGGACAACTAAAGGGAAGGGAAAGATAAATTTGAAAAGCACAGACCCATTTTCCTTTGAGCCTTATATATAGGGGATTCAGGAAATTTGAAACACCTCAAATTCGTACCTAGATCTTTGAAAATTTACATCAAATCAACTCAAATTTTGAGAAAAGGAATTGGCATAAGATTTTAAAAACTTGTGAAATTAAACTTTTATCTATTGAAAACAAGAAATAATTTTCTTTTCACCGCCGCAGCTTGATACAAGACCGCAACTTACTAGACCTTGATATAGGGCTTGCCTCGTAAACTTAAATCTTTCAAAACTCTCTTCCTCAGCTCAAACCCAAAAAATCAAACAAATCACACAAGCCTTTATCAGCTCCGTCTGGAGAGTCGCCATGCCTGGCAAGCGAGCGTCCAACTCAACCAAATATCCCTGACAAATAACTACTAGCTCTTCCTTCAGGTTTGTTATGGAAACCTTCCACTGCAGTCCAGCTTCTTGGACGAAGGAGTCCAGTATTTCATCCATTCAGTGAGCCAGTGATGCTGATGATCCTCGTAGAGCATCTAACCTGACCCGCAATTATGTAATAATTTAACTTTCAAAAGATGGACAAAAATTTAACCCAATTTATATTTAGCGGCTAGTGTGCAAATTTGATATGCTATAAAATTAGAATTTCTGATTAATAATTTACACACTATGGGTACAACGCAAGTATACGCATCCTTTCAAGTAATATAGGGCTTTCTTTAAAACTCAATATCGATACTACAAAGAAGCGATGTAAGAAATCTCTTAAGATAAGTTCTGGTCTATTACTATAAAGACTTAGTTTGGAATGTCGATTAAAGTTATTTTTCTAATAACTATTCCTAAATGGAAATTTTATATCTAAAAATAACTTATCTGGATAAATTGGTTTGGAGAATTTTGAGATAATAAAGACTACTCTTCTCATGCAATTACTTAGATAATGTGTAGGAATTAAATGCTTAAAAAATAATTTTGTTAGTGACAAATAGGAATATATCTATTCTTTACCTCTTTTGAGTATAAAGAACATTAACTAATCTAAAGTTGTTGTCGGCATATATGGTAGTGATGGATAGGTTCTAGCCTCTCACCTCTAGTTTACCCACTGTGTCCTCTCTATAGGACCTACCAGCGACCCTTAGTTCCAAATCTAAACCAAATTGATAAAACAATCTAGCATATCACCTTAGAAACATCAATTTTAAGCTCATAAAATCTTATCTTCCTATCTATTTGCACTCCACTTGGATGATCGTCATGGCTCGTTCCAAAATAAAATGTGGTACTCACTAGTTGGTGAAATCTTAGCCCTCTTAGGTCATTAAGTTTCTTAACAAATTTTAACATTGCAATTGATTATTTTGTAAAGTAAATTATAAGCAGTGAAAATACCATCACATTAATGAAATAAAAGAAGATCTAGGCAATTCTAAATTCCTAAACATTACTTCCATTTCATTGCAAAAGAAAAGAAAAATGAAGATAATGGCATAAGCAATAAAAGAATTGATAGATTTATGTAATAAATTATGTGTCAATAAGGAACATATGTTTACCTACCCTCTTCCAAGTGTATAGGTATGCTTATTATTATATTTCTTTTCTGCAATTATCTGTCACCTAGAAGCATATAATAGAAACAGATCCTTAAATTTTATTTCCTTAAGAGTTGCATTGTTGCCTAAACTATTTTACTACCCAAACGGTCAATGTGAGTGCACTCAAGTTCAAGATCACTGCTCTCCCGAGTCTTCGTTTCACTTACAACAAACTTTAACATAACATATTGTCACTTAAGTTATTTCAATGAAATGAAGGAGATATTACTCATCACATGAAAATAAGAATCTATCATAAAATTTTTTTTCATACACATGTCGCTAGTTCATATTAAAAGATAAGAGTAAACAAAACTACTCACAAAGTATGGATAAAACAAAACAGAAAACTCATCAAATCAAAGCAAATCTACTAGAAAGTGTTTCCAACATTTACAAGATAATGAATAACATAATACTTAGTTATTTATCTTTAAAACAAAGATAAAAATATTTCCAACAAAGTTTTCTCCCGATCCATGCTCAACTCATACAATTATTTTACACATATCTCTCAAAATCCCCCACCAATCTCTCCAAACATGGTGAAAATCTACATCTCCATCTCCTCTCTACGCTCATGCTAAAACTCTCTCCAAAATCCCCCCTCTAGACTCCTCATGAGAGGTGTCAAGCCTCTCTTTTTAGAAAGACACCAAAAACCTCTTTCTTCTAAGAGACGTACCTCTTCTCTAGAATAGAAACACTCTTTCACTTCAAGAGACAGAGCCATATCCTTTCCAAATGTCTAGATTCATTGCATGAGTCATTGGGGTGTGCATAGCCATCCATAACCTTCTAGAACCGCCCAAAACCACAAAAAATTGTCCCCGAAAGTTTTCTGGAGCTTAGGCGCCTATTTCGGGAGCCTAAGCACTTTCTTATCGGTGTGACTGGCACCAAGGTGCTAGTTTCAGACGCCTAGGCGCCGTCTTATCGGCGTGACTGGCATCAAGGCACCAGTTTTGAGAGCCTAGGCACCACACTGCAAGCCGCTCCACTGTTTCTCCCCATTTCGCTCCATTTCGCCCATCTCGCTCCAAATTGTTTTACCTACAAGATAAGCATGAAAATAACCCTTTTTTAAAGTATAATTTCATTTAAATACATGTGATAAATGTAAAGGAGATTAAGCATAGAAAGACATAGCAAATGTGTCAAGTCAAAATTTTCTTCCTTGCTCGTTTTGACTCCAATATGCACCACTTTTGCTCCATTTTCTCTAAAGATCTATTTCTCTTACCTGGAACCAAAAACATGCAAAATATTTTTCCTTTAAAGTGCAATATCATAAAAAATGTGCATAAAATAAACATTAAATGTATATTAAAAACAGGTAATTTTCAGATAGATAAATTCTCCCAAACTTAAACGTTGTTTGTCCTCAAGTAACATTATCACTTTAAATTTTAATTTTTTAACCTCTGGTAGTAGATAACTAAAAATTTATTTTAGAAATGTTATAGTCCAACTAGGAAGAATTTCTAAAAGCAAATGATATATAAGGTCTCATAACATTTAATATTAAATTTAGAAATATTGATTTTCTATTTAATTTAGATGTAACTAAAATTTCCTCAAACTTTGGATTTTTAGAAAAATATTAATTTCAGAATTCATGATTTCTATATTAAAAATAATTTTTACTAACACTTTCGGACATTAAGCATAGGATTAATCTTAGTAAGATTCAAGTGAAATAAATTTTTAGTTATGTCATATTCCTCAATCTTCTCCTCCCTTTTTCATACTTTTCTTTTCTTTTCTTTTTCTTATTTTTCTTTTTCTTTTTCTTTTTTTCAGGATTTTTTTAATCCTTACTTTTTTTTTAGGTAAGAATTACTATATCTGGATAGACCTTTAATGATTTTAAATTTCAATATCCCTTTTCTATAGTTAAAAACTTATTTTCTTTCCTTAACTTAAAATCTAATGTTATTTTTTGAAAAGAAATTTTCATAGAATCTAAATTCTTTAAAAAAGTATTATTCTAAAAATCTTTAATTTTTCAAAAATTCAAATTTTCCTACTATAAATAGTTAAATCATTTCCCTAATATTTTATACTATCTTAACGATAGTTTCATCATTTTTTCTAACTTTTCTACCAAGTTCTTCTCTATCATTTCTAAAAATCAAAAGTTTAGTATCTTAAAGATAACACCACATACCACATGCCATTTTAAGAAGTGATGTTAAATTAAATACAGGCTACTGAGGACAAATAATGTTAAGTTTTAAAATGATTTTTCTTTTCCCCAAACTTGATTTTAAACATGTATAGCATTAAGTACGTATAATATAAGTAGGAAGAAAAACAATTTAGAAATTCTATCTACCACAAGTGTCTATCAAAAATATCTACAACTATTAATCAGAATAGAAAACATATAGCAAAAAATAAATCTAAACTAAACATGTCAGAATGAAATTGACTAAACAAGAGTCTAACTAGCATAATAAATATCAACATAGGAATATAAAAATGCTCTTCAAGTTCTTTATATTGTTGTAACACAAAACACAAGCACGCATGATAAAAGAGGTTAATTCATCCTTTAACTCATCACATCTCTCTGCTTTATTTTCTATTTCTAACAGAATCACTACACATATATATTAAGCACCTTCCATGATTTTTATATGGTTATCCACATAGACAAGATTGCCGCTATTAAGTTGGGTCGCAAACACCAACTTCGAGCATCACCTTATCTGAATAAGTATGCATTTCTAACAATTATAAAGATAGTGCAAGATCATCCACATGTTATTTATCAAGTTTGTTAGGAGTGACTCAGAGTTCTTAGTTGGTGAGCCCAAGGCCTATGACCTCCATACAAAAAAAATATGGTGTGCGGTTCTAAGTTAGGAGTGACTCAAGATCAAAAGTGTTGTTGTGTTGAGATTAGTAAAGCAGCTTTTAACCATATAAAGTGATCACGACATTGTTATTTAGCGCATAGGTCCCAAGTCAAGAGTTTGAGAAGGATGGTGTCATGGTAGATAGTGCCACTATTTTATTAGTTAATATGAGGTATGACGCCTAGGAACTATACCCAAAAATGGGTGTTAGTTTCATGACGCCAAAGGGTGATGGTGTTAGGGATAAAAATAGGGCTCTAAATGACTGGATTCACTCCAAAATAAGGAGGGGAATATATGAATGCTCTTAAGCTAGTGCTTTTCCTAACAAAAAAACCTAAACTTAAGAATCTGACATCAACATATTAGGTTCTAAAAATAGAGTCATGAGAACCAAATAAAGTCGCATTGAAGTTAACTAACCTTTAAACAATGAACTCCAAAGGATGTTATCTAGTCACATTGAAGTGAATCCTTTAGAAGGAAGAAAGGAGCAAGTGTATAGTGCAAATGTGGTGATAGGGATTGTTGATTGCCAAGTTTCTCAATAAAAAAAAAAAATTGGATCGCAAAGAGAAAGCTGTGGTTGATGAATTTTATTAGATAATGATTAAGGAAGAATCTGCTCTTCTTTTCAAGATGACCCTTATAGTTTTGAGGGAGATAACTAAGATTGTGGACACCACTACCCGATTAAAGCCTATAGGATTGCCCACAAGAGGAGCCCTGACCCAAGGAATGAGTTGGAACATAGCCCTAGGTAGGAGAGTAGCTCTATAGAGTTAGACCTTGAGCCTGAAGAACCTCATGAGAATCCAACCAAATACTTAGGAAACCCTGACTCATCTCTTAAAAAATATTCTCTCATAATTGGTGAGGAAAATATTTTCCTATAAAAAGGGGAGTAGAAAACACCTTAGGAATAATAATCTGAATCAACTCCCTACACAGCCTCTGGAAGGCTGTTATCAATATGATAGGGAAAAGTAACAAGAAATTTTGCAACCTAAGAATTTAGTGAGAACTCCAAGATAAATAAAAGGTTGGGCAATCTATCGGGGGTTAATCAAATAGAACTTTGACCTTGGAGAAAGGCTTTTAGGTTTGGTTTGACCTTTGATCAAAATGAGGATGTTAAACTAAATACTTATTTCAAGGAAACCCAAATGTTATTTTGTGTTTTGAGCATGCTCTTACTTTTCATTTGTTTTGAAATTTGTTTTAGATTTTCTTTCAATTTATTTTGAGTTTTTTGGTTGATTTATTTATGCAAGGGTCACGTGAGTTTTTGTGGAACCCTTATCTAAGTTGATTGGAACTGTCAAATTTGGATTTTTCATGCATATGATTTAATGTCGATCATTCTATTAAAAGTATTACATATCACTCTCATTGATCTCCATGTGCTATTATTTGCTATACTAAATTATTTTATGTCAGATTCTTTGTTATTACATGCTATGTTATCTTCTTTTTCTTTAATTTTTCCGATGGCATGCATAAGATAGAAAACAAGTTTGGGGGATGGAGCTATGAAGATATACTTGCATTAACATAATTCACAAAATATAGTTGTTTATTGCACTTTAAAGTAGTGACTCAAGCTAGGAATTTTGATAATTAAATGAGATTATATAATGACTTCACTAGAACTATGAATACTCATTAAAGAAAGGGATTACAATTAATGTCTTAAAAACTCAGTTCTTCACTAAATAATTTCTACCTAAACTCTAAAATATCTCAGAATAATTAAAAATGTGTAATAAAAATATAAATAGTTCACCTGTGATACTTTAAGTCTTTTAATTTTCAACGCAACCAATTTAATTGAGTTTGACTTTTAAATAAATTATAATATTTAAGAGTTCAAATTAAGAAGAATTTGAGAATTCTCATTTAGGGAGATTAAAGATTTAAAACTCTTAAAAGAAATTTTCTCAACCAATGATAGTGATTCTCACTGAAATTAACAAAAAAAATGAAAAAAAAGAAAAAAAGGTAAAAAATTGTGAAAGGTTTGATTCAAAAGAAAAATTAGAACATGTGGCCAATCTCCTTTGGAAGAAGCTTGAGGTAAGCATAAAACTAAAAAATAAGGGCTTAAGTCTTCTCTGATTAGTAAGATTTAAAAACTCTCTTAAGAAAATTCATATGATATTATATTCGAAGAAAAGTTAAAGGATTTTGGGTTTGTTACTTGACTATTAATTAATTTAAAAATATTTTTAGGAAATGAAAATATTTCAATCATACTAGATTAATTGTTTTGAGATTGGTTTAATCTCAGAAAGAGTCAAGTTAAAGAAAAAGTCATATTATTAGAAATTAATAAAAATTTGACCTTGAAATATATGTAAATGTTTCTTTTGTTACACTTATATAATCTTGTTGATCTTGTGTTGTTCGAGTAGTATGTGTCATTGCTCACACTTATGGCTAGAGATAACTCTCCTGAAATTGTGACAGATCTTCTCTAGTGCATTGGGGCTGCTGGATGGAATGATGGATCCACCCTCTAGGAAAATGTTTCACTGATCATTTTCATTATTAGCTCCTTGAGTTCTTCAATTTTTTGAGCCACAAAATCTTTGGCGCATTCCATGTTGCATGTAATTTTGCAATATCTTTGTTCTCCATGTGTTTTTTATTTTGCTGGTTGTGGCATGATCTACACTTATCACACATTTTCACGGCATTTATCCGAATTTGTCGCTAAATCACGCCCAAGGAGTAGAGTGTAAATGAGGAGAGAGAAAGATAATGTTTTAAAGAATGACAGAGGAAATCGATGAACGGAAGAGAAATTAGAGAAAGTGCTCAGATATTGAAGTCTCTCTCCATTGGACAAAAGAATCCAAAAAGGTCATTTATTACATTTAATTTTCTCTTTTTATAATTGTTAGACCTTCGTGAAAATACATATTTGAGCATATTTTGCCAAAACTCTAAGGTGTGGGTCTTTTAGATTATTGTCCCCCTAGTTGTACTGGGCCATTATCTTGAAAAGAGTTGGCCTCATGCTAGGTTGTGAAAACGTGAAAGCGAGCCACTCAACCCCGTGCAACTAACTTTTAATGTCTGACCTTAAGTGCCATGTTACTTACTTATCCCTGGTTATTTACCCCTAACTACTTTACCATCTGCTTTCTAGCTCTGGTAACTCGGCTTGAACACTCGCTCATTATCACTCGGTCTCAATCACTCAACCATGGTCACCCGCCTCGATCACTCGCTTGCTTCGCTCTTATGTCCTATAGTTACGTCCAACAAGTCCATTTACTGATTTCACGCACTTGGGATGATTTCTCCTAGCTGATACATTTTGAGTCGTCTGATACTCGATGATTTGGGCTATCCGATGCATTCACAGTCACTTTTTTGATATATATATATATATATATAGCATGCAAAACTCATGTTGGCAACAGCTTAAAGCATAGCCGTACACAAAAAAAAAAGGAAGCATGAAAATCAAAATTGAAAACGAATAACCACCACCATGAAGAAATAAAATGCGAAATCTAAAACTAAAACTTCACTTCCAGCTACCCCAAGCATGAATTTTCCAATCACTTAACAAATAATACACCAAAACAATCATAGACTTACAAAACAAACTGGAGCATAATATTCTCCATAGAAACTCAACTTTCTCTCAGCCTATCCAAAAAAAAAAAAAGAAAAATCAAGCTAAATAAATCAATTGAAGCGAGAGCAATCTCTCCTGATCTCCCCCTGATTTCCAGTCTTCACCCCCACCCTCCCCAGTCTTACCATTGCTTCACCGAAAGCCGAGCGGAAGCTTTGCGCGTTGAAGGCGAAGCTATTAACTATAGGCTTCGACATTGGATGTCCCAAAAGCACCTGATCTGATTTGAAAATTCCCCTCCCCTTCACCAAACCACGGTAATAAGCGTTATCAAACACATTCGGCGTTTGGGGATCCATGCTGACCGCCACCCTTGGGTCGACGTTCTTCGGGCAGGACTGCATTAATTGTCGTGCGTACGTTGGGTCAAGTGACGGGTCGACATTGTGGGTGGCGTTAAAGGAGTATAGGCGACTGGCGAAGCGGGAGCAGTGGGCGAAGCCAACTGTGTGCCCGCCGGAGAGAGCCACCATGTCCGTCACCGATAGGTTGTTCTTGCGGAATAACCATGATAGTAAGTTGAAGTTGAACTCCGGTGAAGGGAGACTTCCGGGGACGCGCCATCGATGCGAAGCCAGGCCGTCTCGCCGCCCGAGTTCGACCGAGAAGTTCGGTCCGCCTGACTGCTCAGTGAATGGTGAGAATATTAGTGCAGACAACTTAAGTGCAGATAGTACTATTGACATATTCAAGTGGGAAATCAACCTCTTTTTCGAGGGGCAAGCTCTCTCCCAGACCCAATGCTAGGAGGGATTATTGTATCAGGACACCGGATGTAAATATGCATCCAAAGTTCAGTGGACACTTGTCACGTGACAAGTGAGCCCCATTGTAATACACTGGTTGGGTAAGTTTTATAAAAAGGTGAGCCCACTTGTCACGTGACACACTCTCACTGAACTCCGGGCGTAAATTTTGGGTTTGAAGTCCGAATGTAATAATTTTTTCAATGTGGGAGGGGATAAGGTAATGAAACGATATTTTAGGAAAGTAAATCTAATATTTTAGGAGGGATAAAAAAGTAAATAGCCCTCCAATATAAGTAAAAATTTGAATTTGAGAAAGACAATTGCCAGCCTAAACCATACATGGGTTTGCCCCAGGCGATATTGTGGCAATACCAATATAATATCTCTAAAAAATCACTGATTCATACCTACGTTCACCACACATAATAATTACTTCATGGAATGGATAATTCACTGAAAAGACAAAAGTTTTCTACTATAACATTAAGACTAGTGTGTTTGGGGCGGCGGTGCAATGACATTGTGGTGTCATACTGTAGTTTTTTTCTATTTAGCAAAACTGTATTTAAGTTTTGTTTTAAAAAAACTGCAGATGAAATCTGTATTTTTCCACCAGACCTAGCTACATGCAATGACTGCTTGTTTGGGGCGGCGGTGCAATGACATTGTGGTGTCATATTGTAGTTTTTTTCTATTTAGCAAAATTGTATTTAAGTTTTGTTTTAAAAAAACTGCAGCTGAAATCTGTATTTTTCCATCAGACCTAGCTACATGCAATGACTGCTTAAAAGAATTTTTTTTGTACTAATCACCAAAACTTTTTGAAGAGCTTTTTTTTTTTTTGAACAACTTCACAGTTGTTTCTTCAAACAATATAGCTGTCCGGCTTGTTTGGAAAGAGAGATAGAAAAAGAGAGCGGAAAAAGGAGGGAGAATTACCAAAACAACTACGTCTCTAGCAGCTATGGCCAAGATATCAGCGCAGGAGACAATGCCAGGGCAAGCGGCTTCGACAGCTTGCTTGGCCTTTATTACCGTGTCGAAGCCATCGCCAGCAAGGGAGAGATTGTCGCTTGCATCTCTTTCGGCATCTCCATTTGTAGACTGAATCAAGATTGATCCGTCGCAACCCTATAAGTCAAGTTATTTAGATGAGTATACAAAGCTTTAACTTTTAGCCATTTTCTTAAGAGAATGATCGATGCAAACAGGTTTAAAGCAATCGTAGGTTTATTAATTGTACGTTGAAGATTTTGGTTTCCTTTTCTCAAATGTAAGTAAGAGCTTTGGACGTATTATAAATTCTTAATTTACTGTCTAAAATTTATATAGATATTACATAGAAAAATCAACTTCAAATAATTCTTTATAATGCTTATCTATCTTAGTCCTTCCTCTTCCCATATTTCTCTAGCACAACACTAAACTAATAAAAAAATCAACTTTAAATAATTCTAAAACATTAAAATCTATATCTAGATAAAATCCACTTTGAAAATAAACTGCAATATTATATACGAGTTACCTCAACAAAACAATCATGAAAGAAGAGCCTAAGTGTCGCCGGGATAGTCACAAACGTTTGGCTCATCTTCTTTATGATCGCCTGCCTTACAATTGACTCAACATTTGGGCATCCAAACCTATAAAAATTTTGTGCTAATTGTGTATCTCCTTCTCTTATCATCACCATCAACAATACAACCAACACTGCACACATCCTCCCACACATCTCCATCTCTTATCTCTTACTCTTGCTCCTGTCAAGCTCTCATCTTCCTAAACTTTATAATGAAAGCAACATAGAGCTTGCTTGATTTTGTCATAATCAAGCCAATAATTCAATGTGGAACACCAAAAAAGATATCTTTCTGCAATGTTGTGTGTGCTGTGATCCAATAGTACTAATACTTCACATGGTTGGCATAAGACTCCAAATGCTCATTATAATAATAATTATAAGAGGCCAAATTGTTGAATGATTTCCTTCTTTATTTATTTTATTTATCACAATCATGTTGATAAATATATTTCATATTAGTGGACTGTGCAGTTTATCAGAGTTTAGTAGTAAAGTATACATGGTGACACAGACTAGCCAACTAATGTTAGAACTACTGCATTTATAATATCTTCTATCAACGTCTCTGCTATAGATAGTTTGGCCATGCCATATTTTATGCCTTATTGCACTAATCTCTGCATGTGGGCTGCATGTGGAAAGGACTTTGGAATCATAGAATAAAAAAGGTATACTTGAGAAGTTCTTTTTGGCATATTCCTATTAAGATGTAAGTTAATAAATTTTCTCTATCACATATTCTTTTTTTATTTTTTTAATATTTTTAATAAGGTTTAGCTTTTTTTGTCAAATTGACATCAAAATTCCGGTGAAGCTCATTATGGACTGTTTAGCATTGTTGATACAACGACCCAAACTACTTGCATTTACTTTTACTGAAAGCATTATTTTTTACTTGATAGGGTCAATTTATTAGACAATAATGTCGAAGCTAACTTTTTTGCATCTGATTATGTCGACAGAGGCCGATGCACAAACCTTAAAATTGTATTCACGTGCCTGTAGCCTCATTCATGCTTCTACGATTCAATTGGTCTCTTAGGCTAGGGCTCTGGCGATGAGTCTTCTCCACGGAGCGTCCAGTGACTTCGGGGGGATATTCCTCCTCGATCTTAAATCCATGTTAGGTAAAGTTGCTTTCTCTGTTTAGGACCTTCCCATTCTATATTTTTGTGGAATTTTTGCTAGATATGTAACACATATGAATTGAGTTGATTGAATGCAAAATTAAAATATGGGTGTTACATATGTAGTACATATGAATCAAGTGGAATGTATGTAAAAATTGAAAGTTAGGTTTTAGATATGCATTACATAAGAATTGAGTGATTTGTATGTGAAAAATAGAATTTTAGGTGTTTGATATGTTATTCATAAGAATTGAGTGGAATGTATGTAAAAATTGTAGGTTAGATGTTAGATATGTAATAAATATATGAGATTTGAGTGGTATGTATGTAACAATTGAAGTTCAGCTGTTCGATTTGTAGTACGTAAGAATTGAGTGTTGTATGTAGAATATTGAAGGTTAGGTGCTAGATATGTAATACATAGGAGTAAAGTGGTTTTTTAACAAAAAAATTTAAGTTTAGGTGTTAGATATGTAATACATAAGAATTGAGTGGTATGTATGTAAAAATATTGAGGGTTAGGTGTTAGATACATAATATAAAAGAATTGAATGGTACATATTTATGTAAGAAAATTGAAATATAGGTGCTAAATTTATGTATATGTGTATGTGTGCGTCTGTGTGCATGTGTATGTGTATTTATATATACTATATATAAAAGAGTTGAGTGGTATGTATGTAAAAAAGGAAGTTTATGAGTTAGATTTGTGTGTATATATGTGTATGTATATGTACATGTATAAAAACAATCATACAAACATTTATGAAGAGCTATTATAGATGTCATTTTGAATTATTCATATAATTATTTATGCACAAAATAGCTTATGTACAACTAGTGATTTAAATGTACTTATCTTTACATGTACATATTATTAGGCCGCTGATAGATATTTGATATTTGAGATCAAGGATGTATGATAGATTGTACCTAAAAAAAATGGCTTGCTAATGAGTTTTTAAATGGTGTTGAGAATTTTTTGCAAATGACATTACAACAATCCTTTTATCTTTCAGAAGGTAGGTGTTGATGTCCTGGTGTAGTCAAGTTGGATCTATACCTAAGGCGTTTCAACTCAATTATTGGTGCTGGATTTCACAATGATGAGTATGAACTAGATGTTTAATATGATTAACTTTGGGCTTCATCAAGTTCAGCCTTGTAATAAAATGCAATCCTATAACATATAAGTAATTGATTTTGGATGCCAACAGAGCTCCTTTTGTTAGAGTGTTTTTGAGGATGATGAAGCACTAAACAGTGTAGCGTATATATTTTACTATTTATTGAATGCTGCACAACAGTCTTTGTGAGAATGCTGCATCACACATTCAAAGCTATCAGTAGCATTAGGAATATTGAGTATTACATTTAATTACAACAGGCCTAGAGAATGCTTTAATCAAGTTGCAACATTATTAAGAGAGAAAAATCCCATGGAAAATTAGTTCTATAAGACTTTTACAAAACAAAAATGTTAGTATCAAAGTTAGCGTTACTATTAAAGATAATGGACTACTATGTTAATGGGTGCATCTTATATTATAATACTAATGCAATGACACAAAATGTAGATTTTGTGGCGTAGAGAGTTTCAAACCAATGGGCAAAAAAAACATACATTAGAAAAATATTCCATACCAGCTTCTCTTTTACTTACCACTCATAGCCAAACTTCAAAACTTTTATGTGTATAGCTCCTCACATAACATAACATAATATCATATCTATTAATAACAGATCTTTCAGGTGAAGCATAGAAACACCTCGATCATACTTATCATGCCTTTGAAGGTGAACCACATAACATTGGGCTTAGCTTATGTGCAGATGGGTTCACACCATATAGTTAGACCATGACACCCTACTCATATTGGTCGTAATAATTACGCTGTATAATTTTCTTTTTGATATGTGAATGATCACATTATTTTATTTCTGATGCTGATGATATCAGATTCACATAATCTAAAGGAAAAAATTGATGTATACTAACTACCTATAATATGTGAGTTTCAAATATTATGTGAAAAATGTATGCGGATTTATGATATTACTACAAAATAGAATTTTTAGATTAAAGTTTTCATTATGTGAATGATTAATGATTTTTTCACTTATGGATATTTTTTGGTTGGAGAATGAAGATAAAATTAGATTATCCTTTCTGTGTGGATCTGTTTAAGGCATTCACCCTAAAACATAGAAGAAAAAATTCTTCTTTTATTTTCGTCAAATGTTTCTAGCCCATGATCACTTATTCTGAAGGAATAGACATAATTTCTTTAAAAATAGAGTTGAAAAATCAACCCCTCTACTGAGGATAATTGGGGAGGATTTATGACAGCTAATTAATGAAATACCAAAGATCACTGAGAGACCATAACTAACTTCAAATATTCTTTTTAATTTTGGTGTACACATAATTGGAAGAAGCGAAGAATTTTCTAAGATCTTTCATACTTAAGGACCAATCTAGACATAATATTGGTGTCATGCATATTAAAATTTTTTTTTTTTTATATTATCATCAATACTATGATGAACATTAAAGGGAGAACAAAAGAAAATGTCAAATCAAGATTGAACTTAAAGAAGTTTTGCAAGATGAGGGAGTTAGATTTTCAAGAGAAAAATGTCTTTAAACTAATAAAACCTGAAGTTAACTATTGTATTACATTGGATCGATGATAAATACTATATGAAGGGATACTTTCTCTGAAGTTTTTTAGTGGATGTGTCCAAATTAAGTAGCTACAGTGACTTGGGAACATGAAAGATATTTGGCATAAAAATCACAATCGAAACATTTTCTTACAATGCTTATTAGTGCTCTACCAAATTAAATACTTAACAAAATAATTAGATTCATTATCATCAATATCCTTTAGAAATAGAGATAAAATTAATTGAACAGTCATTATAACGAATAAACCTAGAAGAACCATTGACATGCAAACTATTATTGAACACATTTATCAAGAGAATAAAATGTCAGATCCTTCTATCAAAAAAAAAAAAATTTTTTACCCTCGAGTATATCATCAGTACTTATGAAGAGGTTTCTCAAATTATGGATAAATTTTAAGTTCATCATCAACAAAATCGTCTAATGAATAGAATAAGAGTGGTATGTCTCTTTAGATTTAGGTTTTTCTTAATTTTATCTCTTGTAATTTCAGCTTTCTACTTTTACATCATCCGTTTTGTGTGTTAATACTCTACTTTTAGCATTTTTCTTACTCTAGTGGTGTCGTACATACACTTGGTTACACCATAGTTTATATTTTTACTATGCACCTTCCTGTGTTTGTTTTTGTTGCTTCTATTGAACATTTTTTCCTTACTTTTGTTGCTTAGCATTAATTTTATTAATATCTTTCTTCCTTTTATATATAGCTTCAAGTGAGAGTGGAAAAAAATCACCTGATCAACCTCCACGTTAGTGCCCCAATACAACTAAAAGGATGAAGAATTTGGTTTCTTGCATAGCCTCATAATGCTCTAGTGTTGTGTTGATTATTAGCACTATCACTGCAATAGTTCCCCGGGGTTCTGCAGATTTTCTCTGATTCAATCAAGCCTGCTACTCCTTTTTGACCACGTACTCCTACCTTAGCAGCCCCTCCCACACCTTTGGTCCCAAACACTAAGCTACTATTTCCCCAGTTAGATGAGCTAAGCCCTTCTACTCCAGTAACTTCGCGGTAGGATTCCTTTAGCCTGCTATTTTAATTGATCTAGAGAGAGAATCGTAACTTACCTTTTATATTAGAATAAATTTAATTACATTTTCACTAGTTTTTAACTAATGTTTCTATTTTAGTTTCAACTTCTTAAGGCAACCGATCAAACAATACTCCACATCTCTCTTCAAAGAAGATCTAGATATATAATTTTAATTAGAATTATAACTTCAAGTTATTTTGTTATACATAAAATTATTGCATAACTTTTATTTTGTATAGGTACTTTCACTGGCTGCCAGAGTATCACCAACAAATCCAACATATTTTTGTGATTCGCGATAGACATCTGTTGGGCGATATGTTCACAACGGCTCGTAAGAAGCGGCATCACCAAACTTGGTTAGAGAGGAAATGTGGGCCAAGTTAACAAGATCATAGGCATCTCCCAATTATCA